GTCCACCCTCGGTGCTCCTCCCGCAGTGCGTACACCCCTAAGCTAAGTGATCTAAGTGGTTTTAGTGCAATTTGAGGCAGCGTGGTAATGATAGAGATGTTGCATTGGCTTTATGTTGAGGAAGAGATGTTGAGTTCAAATCTCTTGCTACTTCTTGAATTTCACAGAAGAGACCAAGTCATCACAAATAGACAAGTAACCGTATCTTCGTTTCCTGCATATCAATGCATGGTTGGATTCGAAGTCTCACATTGTTCATTATCGTCCTTACGCGCGTCAATGGGACAATCTCACCATCTCTTGTTCGTCGAGGGAGGGGGGGGCTGGAGTGGAGACAAATGGGGGGACCCCCTACCCATCATTTTCCCATTTGAAATTCAGAGACTGGGGGGTAGAGGGTGAACCTTGGTCAAATTCGAACCGTAAAACTCGCAACGCTCGAGAGTGTGACCCACCCTACGCGACAAGGAGGTTTGGAGTGGAAATAATGGGGTCAAAGGCGTGGCGATTCAAACCCACATCGCGGCCACCCCCCTCGAGTATAAGACTCTAGCTCAGGTGGGTGCTGTTTGACCACGCGTTCGAATCCTACTACAGGCTAACGGCAATCGAAGAGATTGCTTTTCAGCGTCAATTCCACTACCAGAATGCCCAAGACTTTTATGATTCTCGCCCACTCCTGAATTCAGACTACCTACCCTGACTTCATCTCTTCTGAAACATACGGGTGGTGTAGAGGTGATAGTCGAGGGAGCTCTGCCAGCCCACGGGAATTGCTGACATTGACAGTACAAACTTAGTACGGAGGGGAAAAGGGGATCCTGATACAAAAATCCTTGAACCCGGTAAAACTCAATTATACCTCGGTACAAACAGGCTAGCCTGGTACAAACAAATCCAGTCGAGAACCCAATGGAATGCCGGCGTGGCAGCCGCAGTCGGCGAGTCCGGGCGAACTTCGGAATGCACATGATGGATCGTATGCCAGCCCGCCAGTCACTGCCGGCCAGACCGATAGCCCCGAGTGACAAAAACTCTCCTGTCACGGTACTATCAAAACAAGGCGCCTCCTTACGTGTTTCAAGGCTCCGCATGTAGCGTGTGGGATGTCCGAGTCACCGGATGTCTGCGCTTGTGCTCCGTCAGATGATGGCACTGCACTGCGCCGCCGCGTGCCAGTGACTCTGACGGTTGCCAGTGATCGGATCGGACGGGCAGGCCCCGCCCGCCCGCCCAGTCCGTCACGACGGTCACTGACTCGTGAGTCACGGCGGCCGGTCCACTGAGGCCGGCCGGGCGGCCGCGCCCGAGTGGCGGTGGCACACAGTGAGCCTGGCACGCGGGCCCGGTCACCCCGGTGACACTGTGACAAGTTTGAGTAAAGGTTCGACAAGTTTCTGGTACCCTTTACTCAAAGTGAAGTTTCTAGTGATCAAAGACTTTTATATCATTAAAAAAAAAGGATTGCCAGGCTAGCCAACTGCCGCCGGCCACCGCAAGTTTGCTCCTGCCACCGGCGTGACATGATTCATGATTGTCCGTGGCAACCGTGGTACGATGTCTCAATGACCGAGTCCTCTTTACTCAAAGTGTAGTACGGTACAGGCAGTACCCTTTCAAGTAGTTGTGGCGGCGTTCCGATCATGACTGGCGGCGCCGCGGCGGAGCCTCGGAGGCTCAGCCTGGCAGCCCAGTGCGGCAGCGGCTTCCGAGCATCAGTCCGATCCCAACGGCGGCAACTTGGCTCATTCCCGCGGCGATCATTCACTTCTGCACTGTGCCAGGCCCTCTTTAAGTTGAAGCTGGGTACCAATCGTGACAGCAAGTGTCTAGTTTGGAAGGTAAATGGCTTCCGTGCGAACGAAACTTTATCTCAAACTTTTTCTTTTATTGTTGCAGTCAAAGTTGATTGCCATAAAAGCACAAAAGCCTGTTCAGTTGTGATGGTACGCAATTCACTATTCATTGCTTAAGAATTGTTCATAAAAACTTGAAGCAAATTACCATGCCTCAGAGAAGCTATATGCAGCAAGAATGCGTTAAAGACAGAAACAACTCTAACTACGCAAACAACTTGGCAAAGAAAGAAGTAGCTCGCGTTCCCCTATGTGTTAACCAGCGCTCTTCGCTTCCTCAAGAAGTACTTCTGCGCATGCGACCGCACCTGCGCCGCCGTCCTCGTCCCAACGATGAAAGCTATCACCTCCGCAACCCCCTGCCCAAGCCCTACCCCACCCTCGTCCTCCTTGGGCTTGTAGAACCTGTCCATCGCCGCCAGGAAGCGCTCCTCCTCCTCCGGGGTCCAGGGCCTCTTGGCGGCTGGGGGCGCTCGTGGCGGTGCCGGCCTCTTGCCAGAGCCGCTGGTATGGTCGGAGTGCAACGAGGGCATCATGGCGGCGGCTGACCCAGCTGGCATGGAGGCTGAGGAAAGGTCGGGAAGGTACTGCGGTACTATTGGAGGGCAGGAGCAAGCTTCACAGGCGCATCGGGCGAGGTTCTGGAAGTCGTGATCGAAGCTGCAGTCGAGGGGGAGGAGTTTGGATTCAGGAGCAGGGTTTTCTTGATGTATAGGTATGGGATTGGCAGGCAGGCTTGGTGTTCGGAGAAACATACGGTTCCAGAGATCAAATTCGTTCTGGTCTTCAAAGTTTTCTTGGTCACAGCAGTATAGTCTGATATCAATCATGGATCGAATGTCAAGCAATCAGTGTTCTGCTCGATGTCCAGTGAATGTAGAGGGCGGAAAGAATGTGAAAGCTGTGCAAAGGAACAGGAGCGAGCTCGTGTGTCACCAAGGAGCAAGGAAGGTTTCGTGGAAGAATGTGAGGAGAGGGGAAGGCTATTGTAAGGACCTGATCTTGTAGTAAGAAAGGTAGTAATGATGTAAAAATTGATTGGGTGATGCAACGTTTTGGGGTTGCTGACAGTTGCTGACAAGTTTGTCAGCTTTACAATGAGCGGCGACATTTATGATATTCGACAGGTGGGTCATACCCCCTACCCCCATATTCACTGTGTACATACGGGTCTGTGATCTATAGCCCTTAATTGTACACCTACCCTTATCCCTGGGGCTCCTGCAGGAGCAAAGGTGAGATACTCCTGTGCAGGTGCGCGAAGACTGAGGTGGGAGGTACGTTAGGTCAGAGTCGAGAAGGGGAGAGGAAGAAGGCAAATACAGTGACTTCGGATCTGGAAGATGGGCGAGAGGATGGAAAACAGTCCAGGATGATATAGAATTGGCAGAGCTTCAGAGCAGCATCCTTGAATGTTGATGCCCCCCCCCCCCCCCCCCGGCTCTTCTCCTCCCCCTCCACCCCCCCACCTCCCTCTCCCGCCATCCTTCTTGTTTCTGCGCTATGTGTTCACCAGTATCTTTCTCGGATCCCAGTCTTCCGTTGAACCTTACTTGTATCACGATGAATTGTACGTTGGCGACGAATTGTCCAGCACATGTGAAGGAATAATCCATGGACGCTACATACCACTCGGCATACACAATATGTAATAAAATCTTCTTACAACCAACAGGCTGTATCCAGGCAAATCCTTCAAAGCACAAAAAGGCACCGTCAGGAGTGCGAAGACTGTGAAACTAAAACGAACGAGAAGACTAAACAGATGGAAAGAAATCATTTCAATGTTATTGACACCAAGACGTTAACAAATCAGACGACCATTCCCATGCATGCAAAAACAAATCTGTCTTCCATATTCCTATGCAGAGCTAGCCAAAGCTCTTCGCTTCCTCAAGAAGTACTTCTGCGCATGCGACCGCACCTGCGCCGCCGTCCTCGTCCCAACGATGAAAGCTATCACCTCCGCAACCCCCTGCCCAAGCCCTACCCCACCCTCGTCCTCCTTGGGCTTGTAGAACCTGTCCATCGCCGCCAGGAAGCGCTCCTCCTCCTCCGGGGTCCAGGGCCTCTTGGCGGCTGGGGGCGCTCGTGGCGGTGCCGGCCTCTTGCCAGAGCTGCTTGCGGGAGCTGTGCTTTCTTGCTGGGTGTGATCTGATGATGCCTTGACGAGAGGAGGTCGCTGTTGCTCTCGCGCCGTGGATGGCGCGGCGGGCGCGTGCCTGCCCATCGCGCTGGTATGGTCGGAGTGCAACGAGGGCATCATGGCGGCTGCTGACCCAGCTGGCATGGAGGCTGAGGAGTAGCTGGTGAGAGAGGCCGGCTTGATATCATGGGAGAGGTCGGGAAGGTACTGCGGTACTGTTGGGAGGCAAGAGCAAGCTTCGCAGGAGCATCGGGAGAGGTTCTGGAAGTCATGATCGAAGCTGCAGTCGAGGGGGAGGAGGTTGGATTCAGGAGCCGGGTCCAGTAGATCAGGCAGGGGTATGTTGTCATATGGAACAAAATTGTTTGTTTGCCAATTGACATGAGAGGAAATATCAAACTCATCATTGGTCCATTCAAGATGGTCGAAATTATGCTGGTTATAACTGTTGTACGTGGAAAGCTTTTCCGTGGTCGTTTCTTGCTGCTTGTGCATGTAGGAGAGATTGGGTGCGATTGACATTGCCAAGATCCGTGTAACTTGAAGGATGAGCAGGGCGATAACTCAGTGGCGGCAGGGATATGATATTCCAGGATAGCGGGAGCGTGGAGCAGGCGAGTGGAGAAAGACGTGAGGGGGGCGCTGTAGGGAGTGGAGTAGTAATAAGGTCCGAACTCAAGGATAGGTCCAACAAGTCCCGACAAATCGGATGGACCCGGTCCTTCATATGTAAATGACCCACCCATTTGTGTATCTTCTTCAAGACTTTTCAGTACCCCTACCCCTATCATCCTATATGTTTGCTGACAGGAGTAAATCCCTTTTCCCCGAAAAGGAACCAACTCTTCATTCTTGAGGCGGGCTTGCAGTCCTAGCATTTCTTGCGGGGCAGCATCAATTCGCAGGTTCCTGTCTCCTATTATTTGTGTTGAAAACACGAAGCGTTGTTCCTTTCATATAAGCTGACGCCAACGTGTTCCAAAAATTCTATTTTTGTACGCCTCTTCGAACAGAGGGTTAACCTTTCCAGGAACGAGAGTCGCACGCTGATTATTATTTTTAAATCTCCTCGTGCTTCCATTTACTACCAACTTTACAACACCTTCATCTGGCCGTCGCTGAATAATTCGTGCTCCGGAACCAGGGGGGGCCCTTATACCACAAGGTGTCGCCGTAGGTGAAACGAGTATCAGAGATGGCGTCTGAAAACGATCCCCTCATCGATTCAATCGAGTCCATCTTCGAACATGGTGACGACAAGCCCCAAGATGGCTCAAACACACCAAAAGCCCATGGTATAGCGTCGACCATCGACTGGGACTCACCAGAGAACTTCTATGAAGGGGGCTCTGAACCATGTTCTTGCGACGTTTGCAGGCCAAAAGAAATTGCAGGAAGAACCAGTTCTAATTCTACTGCGAGCACAACGGCAGAAAACTCATCTGAAGAGTGCCGGAAACGGAAACGCTTGCGATTGGATGCAGTTGCAAACACCAATAATCCTTCGCAGCAAGAAGATGTCAGCGTGGACGGCAATGCAGAGGAGAAGCCAGCCTGTCAAAGGCGTCCATGGAGCCAGGAAGAACATGAACGGTTTCTATCTGCGCTCGAGAGGTTTGGAGCTCCATCGAATCTTGACCAGCATCATGGCTTCACAGTGGGGTTGGGCCACGGCGTGGCTGACATGATCTCATTTGTCGTCGGGACAAGAACCCCTGCACAGGTCAGGTCGCATGCACAAAAATATTTCTTGAAGCAACAAAGGCAGACCCAGTCTAAAGAATAAGGCTTCTGATTGCTTCGCTCTTGCGATTTGCCCTTGTCTTCATGTAAAGTGGGTGATCATATACTGTGTGGGTGGTGTTGTAAGCTGTGTCGTGGAGAAGTGACAAATGAAGAGAATAGTCATTATCGATGGGCGTCAATCATTAAAATGAACAAGTCACAGAATGTCCTGTTTCAACCCATAGGAGTTATCAAAATCACTCCAATTGAATTCATAATCTTGCTCGGTATATACCCTTGCTGCAGCTGGTGTAGAAGCTATCTGACAAGTGAAAGTCAAAGGCTTAGTCCTAGGTGCGGTGCGTTGATGTATCATGGCGAAGAGATGTCATCGGATGGATTTGCAAACTGCAACCCTCCCAAAATCAAGTGGTCTGTTCAGTATACTGCTGTCTGGTATACTTTGTAACCAAACACAGATCAAAGTTATTGATGATGCCTGTGCTTGGTTAGTGTGGTCTAATCTTTGGGTCTGGCACGTGTGTGTATGGTTCCTTGTGAATATCTGGACTGATTGCTATGTGTCGTGAAAGATGTGTTCTTGTTGATCAGATCGCACTGTTGCGGCAGCTCAGTTTGATATCCTCTGCATTATTACTGTTCAGGCTTGAGTAAACAGAGTTCAGACCAAGAACAAATATGAATTTTCCCCCTTTTTACTCAATATCAAGGAGGCTCTGTTGACTAAAAGTTCTGACCAGTACCCTCGTACCCGCGTACACAGGGGTGTAGTAAAATCTCATGGGGAAAAAAGAATATCTCCAGAGATGTCATCACTGCCGGAAATGATTGTACTGTATCTTGTTGTTGCCCCGGTAGTAAAAAAAAGATTCCCTCAAAAGGAAAGGCTTTGCTTTGCTCCTGAACGTCAGCACGGTGTCAGCTTTCAGTTCTCTACAGTTTTTACTACTGTACCAGATTCCCAACTCCTTCCTTCAAGACGCAACACCGCTCGCAGCCTGTCCAACCTCTTCCCCCATGCAGAGCTCGTGGTTAGAACCCCTCGACGACGCCGTAGACTTGGAGTACCAGCGCATGCTTATCCCCTCTCTACCTGGCGTGCACCAAGACCCTGTCGGATCCAACTCTTGCCCTGATCCCTTCTTTTCACATGCTTCGTCTTCTGACTGCGGCGAGGTGATATCACAAGGGCTGTATCGCACGCCGTCATCGCGTATCCAAGCATCCGTCGACTTTGCCGACCCACACTCAACCGACTCCTGCCTGCTAGATATCCAGCATCCCATGGTAACTTCAAGCCAAGGGCACAGCAGAGTGGATTACAGCGGAACAGAGGAAGGAGGAGGAGCAGGGTCCTCAAGCCAGTCTTGCCATCCTGCCATGTGTCACGCAATCTCAATCGACGTTCAAGCAAAGCCCAAGAAGCCACGGCGAACCCCGTCATCTCCTAAGAGGCCCTGGACCCCGGAGGAGGAGGAGCGCTTCCTGGCGGCGATGGACAGGTTCTACAAGCCCAAGGAGGACGAGGGCGGGGTAGGGCTTGGGCAGGGGGTTGCGGAGGTGATAGCTTTCATCGTTGGGACGAGGACGGCAGCGCAGGTGCGGTCGCACGCGCAGAAGTACTTCTTGAGGAAGAGGAGGGATAGGAAGCAGGGAACTACCGGGGCATCTTGATGGGTTGTACAAGTGCGTGCAGAAACTTGAAAGCTCCTTGAATCTTGCAGAAGCATTCAGGGCGTAAGAGAATCACTAAGAGCTCAATTACACCCAACGACACAGACAATCTACACTCAACTGTCATACTTTTGGGAGCTGCAACGTGGCCGATGAAAGCTTCAACAAACATTTTGATACAAACAACAAACACTTGTATGTACAACAACAAGCAGTATGGATACATCCTCTCAAACACGCAGCAGATCAATATAAAGACGAATACGGAGACGAAAACGTGCCGAATTATGAGTGGCCATTTTCTTACTTCGTAATCTGCAGTATCCTTAATACAAGCATCTGAAGCTTGCGAAATAAAAATCACACGTACACCCATTGGCGGTATCTTGAAAGGTCTCATGGATTTCCTGATGTTTGTTGGTGGGTTGGTGATGATGATAGTCGTCTTGACATGGCATGCCTTCATGAATTTGAATGATACGTTACAAGAACTACATGACATGCTCTCATGAATTTGAATGATTCGTTGCAAGAACTACATGACATGCTCATGAATTTGAATGATATATGTAGCAACAACTAAGTTGTTGCCATCCCACAAACAGCTAGTCTAGGACATTTTTTATGTGGCATGCCAACCAACGGTTATACGCTTGTCAAAGTTCGGAAACGGTTTCGCTTGACGTTGGTGGAGCGGGAAGGCGAAAAGAGCAGCGGCGATGGTGAAGGAGTGATAGCAAGGCACTCGCCAGGAGCGAAGGACAGAGATTTCTCCTCCTCCTCCTCCTCCTCCTCCTCCTCCTCCTCCTCCTCCTCCTCCTCCTCCTCCTCCTCCTCCTCCTCCTCCTCCTCCTCCTCCCACATTCGCAGCAGACCTGAAGCTTCTCGCCATTGAACCGTGACTGAATCGCAAAAGAATGGAGCTAATCAACTCAGTAAGGATATTTTCCAGCTTTGACAGAAAGACGCGGCAGCTGCTGGCAAGCAAACTTAGCTCGATCTCCTTCAACGATGGGCAAACCATCGTCGAGCGAGGAAGCTTCTCAGACTCCGTCTTCTTCCTCAAGAGGGGACACACAATCCTGATGGAATGCTCTGAGAAGGGGGAGAGCCGGCCTCGATGGTGCTTCTGCCCGGGGGATTGGTTCGGAGAGATTGCCTTTGGTACTCAGAACATCAGGAAGTGGACTGTGTTGTCCTCTGGAAGCTCTTCCTGCTCTGTTCTGACTTTCTCAGATATCTCTGAATGTTTGGGAGCTCAAGGACTTGACGACAAGGTCAAGACCGGGACGTCCCTGAACCTTGTACAGGTAAGAGTTGTCTTACACTACTTTCATGGTGTTGGTGTAGTGGTCCTTAGAACCTACATTTACTGCATTCGTTTTCTTCCCTACCTGTGGTTGCCATTTTCAAAGCCGATGCTTGTTGGTGTCAATCGTGATTCTTAATAGCGTTTGTCAAAACACATTGTTGACATACAAGGTTTCCCTTTCGTTTTCATTGTTAACATACAAGATTTCTCTTTCCTTTCACGTCTCTCTACCGCCATACTGACATCTTTGCGTCTTCAAAGAGACTGAGCTCAGCCGGCACAGTGTCGTATGAGTGGTCGACAAAGGATGCGAGGGAGTTGGAGGGTCAAGTGGCAAGACATTCTGTCATAGTGACCATGGCAGCAGAGATGTTCTCTCAAAGGGCGATCAAAGACGCGATCGGCATCTTGTCCCAGACTCACGTCACTCTCCTCGACATGGTGGTAGCATGGGACGAGGTAGCAGTGATAAGTCTCCTGAAGCATCACCAGCCGCGCTTCCTGGTCCTTGATACCAGCGTCAACCCTTCGCTTGCTCACAACGTGCTGTCCTGGACCGTGAACAACCGTGGTGCTCACGACAACAACCTTGGCGTCGTCGTGCTGAGCAGGGAGATTAAGGACGAGGATACAGAGGGAGGGATCCAGTGGTTCGGAGAGCCGCCTTGCATTCCCTTCCTCACGCTGTCGAAGCCAGTGGAGCCCGACGATATAGCGGCAGCGCTTCAAAGGATCTCGCAAGGGTTTGTTTTGTCGAGCAAGGATCAGAAGGAAAGGAGGGAGAAGAAGGGATACAGAGATAGGAGCCGTGTGGGCGATTCCCGAGGGCACCTTCCCTCCGACAAGTCGTCGGTGGCGTCGTCGGAGACTTGGGATGATCTAAGATCTGGAAAGGAGGAGGGAGGAAGCAACGACTCTGGTCCAGCCTTGAAAGTTCACCAGCAGCAGCTCTCTCTGGAAAACGTCGGGGATGAGCACGACGAGGAGGACAGGAAACGTGGGATAGAGAGATCGAGAGCCGGAGGAGGAGGGAGAGGAGGAGGGCGAGAAGAAGCTGAGTCTCAGTTTCCAACGGCCAGTGACGTTCTGGGCATGAACGAGTGGAACTCGCTGCTAGGAGGTCGGGCCCTGATCAAGCATCTCAAGATCAAGAGGCCGTCAGTCGTTCTCAGTGCCGACGGCCTGAACACGTCCAGGGAGTGCTTTCAGGACTTTGAGATGCTGAAGAGGTGAAACGATGGAGAACATCTCGGAGAAAGTTTTCAGTCGTGTGTGCCATATTCTATCCTTTGCCGCGTGTTTTGGATGTTTTTTCTTCAAGTTTGACTCTTATCTCTTCTCTTTACTGATTTTTGTGTATTCTTCTTCTTCATTCATCCTTCTCTATTCCCCATTACCTCCCCTCACTTCACCTCCCCATCCTTTCTACGATCGCATCTCCTACTTGTCCTCCTCCTTACCCTCTTCCTTCTACTCCTCATCGTTCCCCTCTCAGGTTGAAGATGAACAGGATGTCAGATCTTGCAGGCCCCAAGATTGAGCTGCTACATGCCATCACAGCAGACGTGCGTAAAGGCTTCTGGTCCTGCTGCGATCGGAAGGAGAAGAACTCTCTCGGCTGCTGTACCTCCTCTCACACCTCCAACCAGATCTGCGATCGATGCGGCCTAGGTAAGCGACATTCTGGGGAGGGAGAACACCAAGAGGAGAAGGGGAGAGGGAGAGAAGTTGGAGGAAGAAGAGGGGAGAGAAAGAGGAGGGAGAAGTAGGAAGAGGAAGAGGGTTTTAGATGAAGGAGGAGGAAATGAAGAGGGACGAGGAGGGAAGAGAATGAAGGAGGAGGGAGGAAGTTGGAGGGGGTAGGCAGGATGCTGGAGGGAGGGAGGAGAATGGAAAGGACAATGATATCAAGAAAACCGGATAGGGAATAAATGTGAAGGACAAGAATAAGGACAAGGACGAGGACAAGGACAAGGACGAGGATATTGATACAGAAACGAGGGTAGAGGATCATTCTAGACAACATTTTGATTCTTTTCGATCGCGTCCGTTCACTTATCCCCTCAGAGTATGAGCCCTTTGCAAGCCGAGCAGTCGCCGAACCTTTCCTCCCCTCCAAGACCAAGAGTCTTCCTCTGACCCCCTCCAAGGCAGCCCCTTCAGAAGCCGGAGCAGGATCATGGTCTAAGGTGGGGACGGCGTTAGGAGGAGCGGGAGAAGGGGGTGGAGGAGTAGCAGGAGCGGGAACAGGAGTTGACAATCACTTCATTCATCGGGATTTCAGGTTTGACATTCCTACCTTCTCCTCCACCTTGGTTCTGCGATGTGTTTCCAGCTCAAATCTGCTCTTCCTCCTCTCTCTCCTTTGTACTATCCAACTGTTGCATCTCCTATCCTTCCCACCCTATCATCTGGCTCTCCTCCTTTTCCTCCTCCTCCTCCTCTTCCTCCTCCTCCTCCTCTTTCCACTCAGCCCTGTCTTCCCTCCTGACTTTCTCACTTTTCAGCTACGAGGATGACATCTCCACCATCACTTCAGCTCGCTCCTCCTCAACCATCCCCCCAGCAGATGCCTGGAGCGCCAAGATCTCCTCCCTCAACAGCCCGCAAACTTCCCACCTGCCCGTCATGCGCCGCCACCCCATCACCCGGAGCGTTCCGCCCGCCTGCAACTTCCACCCTGGGCCTCTGCTGGAGTCTACCTGGGGGGGAGTGATGTGGGGCTGCTGCGGCCAGCCCGGCTACAGCACGAGGCGGGGGCCAAAGCCAAAGTGAGACGATCTCTCGAGTGAGCTACTAGGAAATGACGGGGTACGTAGGGCGTCTGAGATCTTGGAGCGGTCGTCCCTCCTGACTTTCCAGAGCATCAGCTCGGTGCGAGCTGGGGGCTCGTGGGGCTGCTGCTTCGCAAGGCAGCATGTCACGAGGAGACAAGAGGAGGAGGAGGAGAGGAAGGAAGAGGAGAGGAAGGGGAACAGGAGCGCCGGGGCCACGGAGCGGACAGAGCAGGGCAGGGAGAGCAAGGGAGCAAAGAGAAGACTCGATGTGAGTAAGGCGGGAGGGAGGAGAGAGGAGGGGAAGGAAAGGAGGCGACGTTCGTGACGGAGAAACTGCAGATGGGGGAGGAATTTGCGGCGGCGTCAGCGGCGGCGGCAACAGCAACAGCAACAGCAGCAGCAGCAGCAACAGCAGCAGCAGCAGCAGCAGCAACAGCAACAGCAACAGGCGTCAAGATCGTCAATCCTGGGACTTGCAGAGGGTGTCTGGAGAGGAAGGAGCAGTTTCCTGGAAAGTTCTCGTTCCTTGAGATCCTTGCACAGTTCAGGTAAGAGAAGAATTGGTCTAGAATAGCTCCTGCCTCCCTCCTGCACCCCCTCTGTCCTCCCTCCATACCAACCTCCCTCCCTACATCCTTCACCCCCTCTATCCTCCCTCCCTCCCTCCCTCCCTCCCTCCCTCCCTCCCTCCCTCCCTCCCTCCCTCCCTCCCTCCCTCCCTCCCTCCTTCACCCCCTCCTCCCTCCTCCTCCCTTCCCTCCCTCCCTCCCTCCCTCCCTCCTTCCCTCCTTCCCTTCTTTCATACGTTCTTCCTCTCAACATCATTCCCCGCTCCCCCTCCTCCGACTGGCTACTCCTTACATTCCATCTACTCTACCATGTTCCTCCTCCTTCCCTCCTCGTCTTCCTTCCTCCCTCCCTGACTGTCCTCATCACAGGCAAGGGTTCTCCATTGTAACCTGCTCAGTCTGCGAGCAGACAAGCTCCACCATGGACGTTTTGTCAAGTTTCGATGCTGTCAAACGCTGCACGCGGTGCCGAGCTGTCTTCGTGGAGCCTCCGCCTGATCAGCTTGACACTGTTGACCTCAAGCTCATCGAGTCGCTCCGCCACCGATCGTTCCAGGTGGCGACGATGCAGGAGGAGGAGGAGGAGGAGGAGGAGGAGGAGAAGCAGCAGCAGCAGCAGCAGCAGCAGCAGCAGCAGCAGCAGCAGCAGCAGCAGCAGCAGCAGCAGCAGCAGCAGCAGCAGCAGCAGCAGCAGCAGCAGCAGCAGCAGCAGCAGCAGCAGCAGCAGCAGCAGCAGCAGCAGCAGCAGCAGCAGCAGCAGCAGCAGCAGCAGCAGCAGCAGCAGCAGCAGCAGCAGCAGCAGCAGCAGCAGCAGCAGCAGCAGCAGCAGCAGCAGGATATGGGGAATAAGGGAGTAAGATGGAAAGAGAGGAACGCGAGGGTAGGAAATGTGTGGGAAGGAGTTAGGAGGGATGCAAGGAAAGTGGTCAGAAAGTTGATGGTGGCAACAAGGGAAGTGAAGGTAGGAGGCAGGAGAGAGGTCGGAGGAGAGAAGGATAGGGAGGAGCAGGGGAGGGAGAGGGAGGAGAAAACATGAGGAAATGAGAAGAAAGAAGGAACGACGAGAAGAAGTGCAAGAAACAAATGAACAAACAAACAAAAATTTACACGAGAGAAACACTACATCATTGCGATGAAAATCAAACTGCCCGCTCAACTTCAGCGCGTCTGATGCTTGCGTTCAGGTTTTCTTTCAGCAGTCAACCCCGACGAAGCTTGTCCTTCACACGACCAGCATTGAAGAGTTTGCAGCAGCTCCTAGCAAGCTAAAGTTGTTCGGGAAAGCTGATGGGGGACAGGGAGAGCTGCTGGGGGAGTTTGTGTATCAAGAGGTGAGAGAGGGGGGAGAAGGAGAGGAGAGGAGAAAGAGAGGAGGAGGAAGAGGAGAGGAGGAAGAAGAGAGGAGGTAGAGGAAGAGAAGAGGAGGTAGAGGAGAGGAGGTAGAGAGGAGAAGGTAGAGGCGAGGAGGTAGAGGAGTGGAGGAAGAGGAGTGGAGGAAGAGCAGAGGAGGAGAGGGGAGGAGGAGGAAGGAAAGAGGAAGGGAGGGGAGGACAACGAAGGAGAGAGGTGGTAAGAAGAGTAGAAGAGAAGAGGCAAATGTCGTTGGTGACTTGACTGAGAGTCAAGAGAGACTTCTATCAGACAATATTCCAGTGCCATCAGATTATTCTGATGATGACAATCAGGTCAAGAAGATTGTAACGTACATGGACAGCTTCGATAAAGTAAGACAATCGTCCTATGAATTCAACATTTCATTCTGTGTGTGTTCAGAGGTGTTGTATGTTGTCGAAGCTATGATATTAGAGTTGTGACTTTAGGGGTATGACGTGATGACAGGTGGGAACAGAGAAGATTGTGTTTCAGATCGCACCAGGTCAAGCATGGCCAGGGGAGTACTTTCCAGGACAGGTCATATGACATTGATACCACTAACATCATGATCGTTTAATTGCTTCATTGTATTGTAGCTGTACTCTTGGTGACTTGTACCATGGTCGTGAACTTTGATCAGTGTACCACGATAGGAGTATTTCAATGACTCCGTGTTGATTGTGGATTTGATATCACTCCTGTAAAACGTCAAAACGTCACTGATTCAATGATTGCAAACACTCGTCATTGAGTTTTCTGCAGGGCATGATCGACATAGTTTCCGCTGAGACAGTTTGCACGTACCATGATGGATTGTTCTGCTCATCGATCAGGAGGAGAAACAGGAAGAGAACACAGAGGTCGTTGTGTAAGGTGAAGACTAAGCGCAAACAGCAAACATTGTCATTTTTTTGTGTTGGACTGATTGTGCTTGTCTTCGGAAAGATTTGACATGATTTCGAATCATGCTGCTCTGTAATGACATTCCGTAACATATATGAGGGGAGAGGGAGGAGATGACCACGAACCACGACTACAATTGCGATGAAGACGATGACGATGACGATGACGATGATGACGATGATGTTGATTGTGATGATGACGACGACGATGATGATGATGTGAAACAGAAGGACGATAATGACCCTTCATTGCTGCAGGAGAAATGTGTTGTTCTAGGCTGCAACAAGAAGTGCAATCTGCTCGAAAGCCACAACCCTCTCATTCAACATTATTGCGGAGATGAGACGTGCCCCATGCTCTGCTCTATTGCAAACTGCGGGAGGAAGTGCAAAGGAGATCACTGGCATCCCATGAACCCTCTTGCTGTTCACCATTGCGGCCATGAAGATCATACATGCGGAAGGTTGCGATCAGGGTTCTGTTGTGCTTGCAACCTTTCTTGCGCTATCGGTGCTGCTGTACCTCATGCTAGGCACGAGTGCAGGTATGAGATGATAATGGAAAAGACGACGACGATGATGATGATGATGATGATGATGATGATGATGATAATGATGATGATAATGATGATGATGATGATGATGATGATGATGATGATGATGATGATGATAATGACATTGTATGTATGCACGATGATGTGTACTGTTTCATGTCTCGTACATTTCTTTCATGGCCTCACAAACGTGCTTTTACTATTGACGACAGGCAAACTGATCAACCCTGTGTGTTCTCATGTCATATCGCAAACTGTCCGAATCCATGCTCATCAACCGATCACTTCCACGGTGAGACAAGATCGATCACGTTTTATGTTGCTAACAACAACGCTTTCTCCCTCCCTCCCTCCCTCTTTCCGTCTCTTCCTCTCCCTCCTTTCTATCTCTCTCTCCAGGCTTCACCATGACTGGAGAAATCGACCATTCAGTGCAACATCAATGCGATCAGGATCATACATGCAGCGAACTCTGTTCAGCACCAAACTGCGGGCTTCTCTGCAAGATAGGGAGAGAATCCTTCCATACAATCCATTCCTGCGGATCGCAAACGTGCACAGGAAAGTGCTCGATCGCTGGCTGTGAAGCAAGCTGTGCGTTTGTTGACGACCACCATCGCACAAAACACCAGAAATGTCATTGCGGAGGAAATCATCCTTGCAAACAGATGTGCGATGCGGCTCATTGCAAAGACAAGTGCGTGAGAATAGGGATACACCATACGCACTCTTGCCAACATGACGACAAACAAGACATGAAAGCTTGTCTTGCCATGTGCTCCATCAAGGGATGCAAAAGATCTTGTAAGGAGACCGATCACCATCATGCAGCTGAAGGTAGTAGAGAGCACAACTGCGGGGAGTTTCATGCTTGTCCCCAAACTTGCTCCGCGGAGAACTGCTCCTTGAGATGTGTGCTGGACTTCTGCAACCATGGTTCTTGTTTTGTCTTCAGTGACAGCAAGCAAATGGGACAGGGAGTAGATAACAAGCTCGGGGAAAAGAAGACAGAGCTGGAGGGTCGAGACAAGATCGAAAGCTCGACTGATGACAACGATTGTGATACATACATCATTCCTAAAGGAAGCAAGTTGCGACAGATGCCTTCAGAAAGCATCCACTGGTGTAAGAATCATGGATGCCAGGTCAGAAGTTCGATATATTATCCTCCTCCTTCCCCTCCTGCTGCTGCTGCTCTTCCTCCTTCTCCTCCTCCTCCTTCTCCTTCTCCTCCTCCTCCTCCTCCTCCTTCTCCTTCTCCTTCTCCTTCTCCTTCTCCTTCTCCTGCTCCTGCTCCTGCTCCTGCTTCTCCTCCTCCTCCTCCTCCTCCTCCGCTTCTGCTCCTCCATCTACTCCTACTCCTTCAGCTTCTCCAACTCGTCCTCCTTTCCCCCGTCTTCCTTCTCATTCGTTTCCATATCTTTCTCCTCTTTGCTCTTGCCCCCCCTCTTCCTCATTCTCTTCCACTTACTTTTGAATCTCCAACTTTCCCCCTCCCTCTCCTCCTCCCTCTCCTCCCTCTCCTCCTTCCTCTCCCCACATCCCTCTCTCCATATCTCACACTTTCTCAGCTCTCCTGCCACATGCAAGGATGCAACCAGCCCTGCTCGTCCTCCGACCACTTCCACCACCTCCACAGCATCAGCAAGCTCGATCACATGTGCCAGCTTGCACACAGCTGCTCCGAGCAAGGAGGAACATGCCAGCAGCAAGAGGGGAGGTGTATCGACGCAAATGGAGCGCTGCTGGCTGAAGGCGTCAGAGGCACCTGCAGGATCCGAATCCCTCCGTGTGAGCAAGCGCACAAGAGCTCGTGCTCCTGCTTGTCCGAGTATCACCCGGTGAGAGATGGGATGCGAGAATGGGGATGAGGCACAGAGAGGAGGAGGAAGAGGAGGGGGAGAGGATGAAGAGGAAGAGAAGGAGGAAGAGGAAGAGGAAGAGGAAGAGGAAGAGGAAGAGGAGGAAGAGAAGGAGGAAGAGTTAGATGAAACGAAGAAGAGACGATGGGGAGGAATCTTGAGATTCAGGAAAGGACAGGTGCAAGACAAGAAGAAGAAAGGAGGTCGGCAAAATGCAGTGAAGAAAAAGAGAGTGAGCGAGTGAGATGGAGTGAGACAGAGACAGGGACAAGGAAACAGAAAAGAAGCAACGAGATGGATTTGATGGTTCTAAGAAGAATGACTTGTTGTCACAGACTACTTCAAGATTCGTTTTAGAACATCTCGTGGACGAAGGGGTCGCAGGGAGAGTGAGCAAAACTCGTCTCGTTCCATGCGGAGCAATTTGTGATCGTGAGTCATACAGGAGAGAGGAAAGAAGAGAAAGGGAGACAGGAATAGGAAGGAATAGGAGGGAAAGGGAAGAGGAGAGGAATGAAGAGGAATAAGAGAAGAGTGAGAGGGAGGGAAAGAGAAGAAAAGAGAGGAGGAAGGAGAAGAGAGAGGGAGTCGAAGAAGAGGAGAGAGGGAGGGAGAGGGAGAGGGAGGGCTTGGAGGAACGAGGAGAAAACAGATGATATGAGAGGGTAATGGCGATGACGATGGCGATGACGATGGTGAATGTTTGCAGGATTCGGGTGTATGGGAGCTTGTACCCGGCTGGTTCGCGTCAACGAGGCTGGGGAGCGAGGAGGAGAGTCGCACGTTCACTGCTGTGATAGGAACAAGTGCATGGGGAAATGCGGGAGAGACGACAGTTGTGTTCGACCTTGCAGCAAGCATCATGTTCATACTGTTGTTGAGTTCCAAAGCTTGCAGCCACTGCGTCCTTCTCATGTGAGACAGAAGTTGTAGCTGTAGTGTGAAGATCTGAGATGATCGGAATGTTCAATCTTCAACGATGGTCAATGATATGACTCTGTTTGATCTTTCTCGTGATTGATGGATTAATCCTTGTACTCGCTATTTTGCTCCACTATCTTTCCTATCTGTCAACGTAATTGACATTTGCCTTCTCCTCTTTGCACTCCTCTTCCTTTCATCCTTCCATCCACTCTTTCTTTTCCTCCCCTTTGTCTTTATCCTCTACCTTCTCGATCACCACCACAACTTCTTCCATCTCACTTCTTGTTTGTCATTCTTTCCACTCACGCATACAATTCGCAGGAGGTCAATGGAATTGGAATAGAATTCTTCAGGCAGATGCTGACAGAACAAGACGTTTTCGAGCTTTCACTCCCGAATCCTCCCGAGGCTGTAAGATGACTTTTTCTCCTTCTGACCTTCTTCCTTCTGTTTCTTCTCCTGCTCCTCTGTGTTCATATCTTCCTCTTCCTCCTCGTTCCCCTCCCTCCTCCTTTCCCTCCTCTTCGTGCTTTCAAACTTTATCATTCTTGTTCCTTCATCCCGCTCCAGCTCTTCTCTGTTTCTTCATTTTCAAACCTCGTTTCTTCTCCACTCTTGACTCTCTTCCACCACCAAGTCCTCCTCCTCCACCACCACCACCACCACCACCACCACCACACCACCACCTCCTCCTCCTCCTCCTCCAACTCATCCTCCTCCTCCAACTCATCTTCCTCCTCCAGCTCATCCTGCTTCTCCTCCTCCTCCTCCTCCTCCTCCTCCTCCTCCTCTTCCTCCGCTTCCTCTTCTCATTGCTACTCTCGCTCAAGTTCACTGTGACCTGGCAGGTTGTGGCCAAGGAAACCGGATGCAACGTCTGGTTCGACCCCTCTGGCATAGTCGGAAGGAGTTCGTGG